ATGGCTCAAAGAGAAGGAATATAATATCTATTGTATACAGGAAACTCATTCAACAATTCGAGATGAAGTAGCGTGGAAAAAAGAATGGGGGGGGGGGAAATATACTTCTCCCATGGGCAAAGAAATTCAAAAGGGGTGATGATATTAATTAATAGTAATTTCGATCCGAATGTGCAAATTGTCCAAATAGATACGCAAGGTAGATGGATTATTTTAAATATGGTATTGGACCATAAACAGATATGGCTCATTAACCTTTACGGACCAAATAATGATGATCCACAATTCTTTGACAATATATATAATAAATTATCAAGCCTGCAAGCAACTCAAGACAATATTATTATGGTGGGGGATTATAATACTGTTTTAAATAGCTCAATGGACCGAAAAGGAAATCACACCACAAACAATCACCCACATGCTCTTAAGGAAATTGTGAATGTCATGGATACATTAGAACTAGTAGATATATGGAGGCTTAAATATGCTGATCTAGTGAGATATACATGGCGGAGACTGAATCAAGCTAGTTGTCTTGACTTCTTTCTTATCTCATTCTCGTTGGCACCAAAAGTAAAAATAGTGTTGATAGGGGACAGAATGCGGTCGGACCATCATATAATAGGCATATACATTACTCTGACTGAATTTCCACGTGGGCGAGGATATTGGAAATTTAATCAAAGCCTATTGGATGATAATTTATTTATAATTAGAACAAAGGAATTTATAACTGACTTTTTCCAACATAACATAGGTACAGCGAATCCCCTTATTGTATGGGACACCTTTAAATGTGCCTTTAGAGGCCATGCAATTCAGTACTCATCTCGAAAACAAAAGCAATTTAGGTCAAAAGAGTTTATACTAAGAAAGGAAATAGAAAGTCTAACAGAACAGATAGATGGCAATAAAAACTGTAACATAGAGGCTCAGAATAAATTAGAGGAAAAACAAAAAGAAATGGAAAAACTTATTCAAGAAAGATCAAGTGTAATATATTATAAAAATAAAGCAAACTGGATGGAATATGGGGAAAAATGCACAAAATTCTTTTTTAATCTTCAACATAGGAATGCTACCAAAAAGAACTTAATGAAACTGGTTACAATTGACGGAGTCACCCATAATTCACCTAAAGATATTTTGAAGGAAGAAACAAAGTATTTTAAGCATATGTTTTCTTTTCAGTCGCCTCCATCTCCTCTAACTGAAGCTAATTGTAGAGATTTTTTTTCTATTGATAATGTCAAATTAACAGCCACACAGAAAGACTCATGTGAAGGTGAAATTACAGAGGAGGAACTTCTGGATGCAATTAAAGACTTTAAGTCCGGGAAAACTCCAGGGTTGGATGGCATACCAATCGAGGTATACCAAACCTTTTTTGATATACTAAGAGGACCGTTATTAGCATGTTTTAACCACTCCTATGTAAATGGTAGATTATCTGACACTCAAGAAGAAGGTCTGATCTCATTATTACTGAAACAGGATACAAGTGGAAAATATAAAGATCCAGTCCATTTACAAAATTGGAGGCCACTTACACTTCAGTGTTGTGATGCAAAAATCCTAGCAAAATGTATAGCGCATAGAATTAAAAAGGTATTGTCGGATATTATTCATTCTAATCAGACAGGTTTTTTACATGGAAGATACATTGGAGATAATATAAGGCAAGTATTGGAAACAATAGAACACTATGAAAAATATGGGAAACCAGGCCTGCTATTCATAGCAGACTTCGAAAAGTTCGACTGGAATTTATATATAAATGCCTGGAGCATTTCCATTTTGGAGAATCTCTTATAAAATGGGTCAAAATCATGTATAGTAACCCTAGGTGTAAAATAGTAAATAATGGATATTTCTCAGAAAGTTTTAAACTGTCAAGGGGAGTGAAACAAGGTTGTCCACTATCGGCATATCTATTTATTGTGGCCATCGAGATGTTAGCTATTAAAATCAGATCCAATAATAATATCAGAGGATTAGAAATACAGGGCTTAAAAACAAAGGTGTCATTGTACGCAGATGATTCATGTTTTCTTTTAGATCCACAACTAGAATCCCTCCACAGCCTCATAGAGGATCTAGATACATTTTCTAACCTCTCTGGATTAAAACCAAATTATGACAAATGTACTATATTACGTATTGGATCACTAAAAAATACAATTTTTACATTACCATGTAGTTTACCAATAAAATGGTCTGATGGTGATGTGGATATACTCGGAATACATATCCCAAAGGAAATAAATGATCTCACTTCAATACATTTTAATAGAAAGTTAGCAAAAATAGATAAGATCTTACTACCATGGAAAGGAAAATACCTGTCAATTTGTGGAAAAATCACCCTGATTAACTCTTTAGTATTATCCCAGTTTACCTATTTGCTTATGGTCTTGCCTACGCCTAGCAAACAGTTTTTTAAATTATATGAGAAAAAAATATTCAATTTTATTTGGAACGGCAAGCCAGACAAAATTAAAAGAGCATATTTATATAATGAATATGAATTCGGAGGACAGAAATTATTAAATATTAAAGCATTAGACCTATCACTAAAATCTTCAGTCATCCAAAAGTTATACTTAAATCCGAACTGGTTCTCAAGCAAATTAGTAAGATTGTCTCACCCACTGTTCAAGAAAGGCCTTTTTCCCTTTATTCAGATTACAACCTCTCACTTTCAGTTATTTGAAAAGGAAATAATCTCCCAAATGTCACTATTTCTAAAACAAGCCATAGAAAGTTGGTTGCAATTTCAATTTAATCCTCCAGAAACGACAGAACAAATAATGCAACAAATATTGTGGTTAAATTCAAATATACTAATTGACAAAAAACCTTTATTTTTTGACAGAATGTTTAAAAAAGGTATAATCTTCGTAAATGATATCATCGGTAGGACTGGTGGAGTTATGTCGCACATGCAGCTAACAAAAACATATGGAAATGTCTGCTCTACCCAGAATTACAACCAAATAATTGCAGCCTTACCGCAAAAGTGGAAGAGGAAAGTTGAAGGGGGAGAAAGTAAGGAACTTGTCTGTCGGCCTTGCATTAAAGAACATAATTGGTTAAGGAAAACTGTGATAAATAAAAAAGTATATCAGTTTCACTTAAGGACCAAAGGATTGACAGCCGTCCCATATAGATTGCAAAATAGTTGGGAAGAGATCTTTGACGTACCGATCCCATGGCATAGTGTTTATGAACTGACACGCAAAACGACACCGGATTCAAAAATTAGAATCTTTCAATTTAAATTATTATATAAAATTCTTGCTACCAATAGAATGTTATTTATATGGGGGATACAATCTTCCCAGCTCTGCAGATTTTGCTGTGAAGAGATAGAATCATTAGATCATTTGTTTTGGTTCTGTCCATTTGTAGCTTGTTTTTGGACACAGGTCCAGGAATGGCTAAAGGATTGCAATATTTACCTGGAACTAACCTTGCAGATAGCATTACTGGGTGATCTGAAAAGTCATAGTCAATCAATCAATAATATAATAATACTTTTAGCAAAAAAAAATATTTTTAATTCACAATCTGTAGAAGCAATGAGAATAGAAAGGTTCAGAACTTTTGTAAAACATCACAGTACGGTTGAAATATATATGGCAAATAGAAATCCTATATGGATGGTGTTAAGAGATAGATGGGAGGTATTGAATAGAGTTGAAGGATGGGACTAATAACAAATAACAACAAATAATAACAAAGATAGCTAATAATGTAAGCATACTGTGTCCATAATAAGTATATAGGTAGTATGTTGGGAGCTTTTGGGAAAGAGCACAGTTAGAAAGATATGGCATTTAGAAGCAAACCGGATGGACATCATGAAAATGATCGGAGAGGTTGAGAGTAGAAGAAGTTCAGGAGCAAAAAAATAAATAAATATATATATATATATATATATATATATATATATATATATATATATATATATATAGATATAGAATTATTGTAAAATTAACTCTGTCCATAAGGTGTAGATAGTAAGTATAGACCGGAAGTAGAGGCCTGGGCGTTGTTGTTCACTAATTTACTCCAAGTAGGGAAAGGATGGTGGGGTTGAAAAGTAATAAAGGGGAATATATATATAAAAAATAAAAATAAAACATGGGGGATTGGAAGTGATGCAGACAATTACATTGATAGAAGATACAATCTATCTGCAATATTAAGCTGATCCATCCCCCCCCCCCAAAAAAAAGGGTTTGAAGTCAGTATGAATATCAGAGGTTGAGCTGTTTTTCAATTAAATGAAAAACGTTGAGTGAGATCTTTGCTTTGGTATCTGGTTCCATTGCTGCATTTGGCACTTGAACACTCTAGCATAACTCCTGGTTTATATTGCTGTTGTGACTTAAACAGGTAGGCTTGTATTGCTTGGTGGTAGGATACCAGTTATACATTCTTTATAAGAACAAATGGTTTATAAAAAAACAACTATAATGTATGAGAGTTACACTTTATGTTCACTCTCCCCCAGTAGATGGCACTAAAGCATGAAGTGATCTTGCATATTTGTATGGTTATCATTAACACTACACTGACATTTCATATTCAAAGTTCGTCAAATTAGTTCTACTTTGGTTGTTTCAGTAAATTATTTTAGAACATTTTGAACTCAATAACTGTACAGTTATTTACAGTTTATAACTAATCAAACAGAACTCTATCTCCTTATTTAGTTCAGCATAAGTCTAACTTATTAGTCTATTTTCTATGTGTAGAATCCCCATAAACTGTAACTGATAGTTAGTTCTGCCTCTGTACACATCTGTTATACCAGTGAAAAGGCTGCTTGATCTGAATGCTAACATCACTCAAGCACTAAGTGTAGCATATCAGTTAAGTCCTTAGATATCCCAAAAGGTCACTATATAATCTCTGTGCATTATAAATGTAATATCCTTCTGTCCTTGTGGCACATAGATGACGCATGGTTCAAACCCAGTAGCATCTGCCTACAGGTCAATAGTGTCACTGCACACGCTAAGAGCATCGATCTGTCGGCACACGTTGACGAATTCCGCTTGTACGGCCATATCCCGTTCCAGCAACCTGCTTTCACTCAGGTCCTCTCTGCCCTCCAGCCGCCCCTCCCCCCGACTGTCCTGCGAGGCCGAGCTGAGGGTGCGGTAGCGTCTGTGATAGGAGAGGTGGGGGAGTGTCCTGTGCAGGCTGCTCTGGGAGGGCTGCCCTCTGGTGGTGTGGGGGTGTGACCATGCCCCTCCTGCCCCCGAGCTGGAGAACAGACCCTGGGAAGACCCACTCAGGGACTCATGGCACAGATAGCTGGAGTTACTACCTCTCCACCAGCACTCAGGGGGAGAGCAGGGATCGCCGTGGCCTGGGAGAATGCACCTTGGCTGGGGTGGCCGTGTAGGAGACATATCCACATCTCCACAGGAAGAGCTCCGGTAGAGGGGGCTGTCGGCTGAGCTGTTTCCAGGCCGTGAGGCACTCTGGCTGTGGTGGGAGCCAGGGGAGTTCAAGGAGAGGCTGGAAGAGACGTGGAGCAGCCTTGGGGGGCTGAAAAGGCTGTGGGGGAACAGGGTCTCGCTGTACAGGGCCTGGTCTATGCTGCGAGACAGGTCAATGGGAGAGGGGGGGCGCAGGTCCACTGTGGAGTCAGTGTCCAGACATAGACTACCCTGGGAGGAGCCCTGGGACTCAACCCCAGCTTGAGGCCTCCCTGGTGGGCTTGGAGAATCAGGGAGGTTGGGGTGTCTGGAGGTTTTGGTCTGGCTAGGGTGGGGGTTAGGGTTAGGATGCAGGTTCAGTCCGTTTGAGGGGGGTTCCTTTAGTGTGTCGAGGGGGAGGGCTTCGGACTGGCGCTTACTGATGACATCACACACCATCTGCTTCTCTTTCTGCCCAAGGGACCAGGGGTAGTGAGGGTGGAGGATGGGAGAGAGGGGAAGTGGGTGGCTAGGCCCTCCTGCGGGTGAGGCACAGGTCAGCCGCTCCCAGGACCCCGGACGGGTGTTGGTGTTGGGTTTAGTCCGGGAGGAGGAGTTAGAGTTGGAGCAACAGAAGAGGAGGGGCTGAGTGCCGATGATTGACAGGGACAGACACACCCCCACCTCACAGAGCCTGCAGCCCAGCTGGTACGCCCACCAAGGCCAGGGCTGGAATCCTGCCCCAGCACTCACCCCTCCGAGCCCTAATGCATGTAACATCCCATACAGCTGAAGCCCCCCACAACCTAACAGGCACAGAGCCCCTCCCACCCCAGCCCCTGCCGCCCTGCTCCACTCCTCAGTCTCAGCGAACGGGCACCGGGACGGCCGCCCCAACAGAACTGAGGATCCTGTTACCTCTCCCTCACCATCACTCAGCCGTTGGATGTGTTTGGCGTCTTGTCGTACAAGGCAGTAGAAGAGGAGGAAGGAGCAGGGGAGGAGGAGGCAGAGGAGGATGAAAACTCCCTGGGGGAGCAGGAGGAGGACAGGGAGGCTGGGGAAGACATGGAACAGAGCTATGGAGCCCAGGAAGGCCCCGAAATGCATCAGGGAGAGGAAGAACAAGAGACAAGGCCTGGGCAGGGTGAAGAGAGGGAGGGAGAGAGACAGGGGACAATGAAGGGAGAGGTGCATGCGAGAGCGGAGGGAGAGGAGGAGGAAGCAGACGGAGAAGGCAGAGGTGAGGCAGGGGAAGGGTAGTTCAGAGAGGGGAAGAGAGCCCAGAGCAGGCAGGCGGTCCTGGTGACTATAAGCATCATACAGCAGAGAGAATGCTCTAGTGCCTCCGGTGGCCAGGAGGAACAGGTGCAACAGGGTGAAGTAGGGGCTTCCTGGTGGACAGCGCAGGGGCAGGCCTAACAGGCATAGTACAGATATCAGACCAAATGCAGCGAACACAGATCCCAGACCGTAGATGTGGGCCTCCCAGGCAAAGCCCCAGGTGGCCAGAGCTGAGTTCCAATCAGAATACAGAGGCACAAAGAGAGGAGGGGTTAGAGACAGAAAGGGGTGCTGGGATTGATTGGAGATGATGTCACCAGGGTAAAAGGGGCTCCAGGATTGATCAGTTGTGTTGCAGGATGTGGCTGTGGTGTCCAAGCAGCGGTCGAGTAGAGCTGTCTCATTGGTGGCTGACTTTGGCCACCCCTCCTCTGGAAACACACCTGCAAAAACAGAAACTAAGATGCTTGAAACTGATGCCCAAATGAACCCCTTGCCCCTATCCCCTATGGAGATCTGCAGGGATTTCATAGAGTGAAATATCAGAGAGAGAGAGAGAGAGAGAGAGAGAGAGAGAGAGAGAGAGAGAGAGAGAGAGAGAGAGAGAGAGAGAGAGAGAGAGAGAGAGAGAGACTGGTGTAATCCATTATAAAAGTACATAAAACTGGGTATCTCTAACTGGGTCAGAGAGAGAGAGAGCCAGGGAGAGAGAGAGAGAGAAAGGGAGGGAGAGAGAGAGAGCAAGAGAGGGAGACAGAGACTGTGTTCAGATGAGGTAGTATTGACCCCACTGCTGTTCTCATTTGTGTAACTATTTATAAATCACAAGCACACTCTTATAACTAACATCACATCATTAATAACATAATATTGTAGGTGCATGTACCTATTCCATACTATATGTCTGTCCCCTATGATTACATAACATCTGAATAATGTAGACACTTCTATTCCCTATGTGCCTGCCTACTGAGCCCTACGACAAGACCTTCTCTGTTCTCTCCTCTTCACGTGCATGTGTGTGTGTGTGTGTGTGTGTGAGTGTGTGTGTGTGTGAGAGAGATAGAGAGATAGGTGTGAGATACAGAGCTAACACAGTTCTGTCTCCCTCCCTCTCAGACCGTTTACTACCCTCTACCTATGCTCTCTACCCCTCCCTGGCTGGAGAGGCAAGAGGCTTCTACAATGTCCTATAGAAAACCACCAGTCCACTGTGTTTCTCATTCACATCTCATTTACTGTCCTCACATGAAGGAATTCATTAACAGTCTCCCTCAGCGTAGCTGTTTAAGAAGATAGGACAGCAAGGGAGAGAAATAAAGTGTGTCTGTGACAGAGTAGAAAAGAAGAGGAGAGAGAGAGAGAGAGAGAGAGAGAGGTGGTAGAGATGGATGGAAGATGGAGGGGAGAGATGAAGGGGGAGATTGAGGGAGGGGAGAAGAGAAGGAGGATTGATGGAGTGGGAGAGAAGGAGAAGGAGGTGAGAGAAGGAGAGGAGAGAATGAGAAAGAGAGAGAGGAGAGAGAGGGTGACGTAAACCGCCCTGTGAATATAAAACAACTGTGTTTGCCAGCAGAATACATATCACACACACACTGCGGCACAGAGCAGACACAGAACAGACAAAGAGCAGACACAGAGCAGACACAGAGCAGACACAGAGCAGACACAGAGCAGACACAGAGCAGACACAGAACAGACACAGAACAGACACAGAGCAGACACAGAGCAGACACAGAGCAGACACAGAGCAGACACAGAGCAGACACAGAGCAGACACAGAACAGACACAGAGCAGACACAGAGCAGACACAGAGCAGACACAGAGCAGACACAGAGCAGACACAGAGCAGACACAGAGCAGACACAGAACAGACACAGAGCATACATAGAGCAGACAAAGTAGATGAGTCACCTTCCAACACATACCTCAACAGCAAACACACACTACTACTACAACTGCTACAGGGGCATGTAAAAACCAAACACACATTGTACTTCAAGATATCAGAGGTAGGATGTCATGAACGGAAAAGATATAAGGGGTTACTCTCATCACACTGCCACAGGAAATCATTACACTCACCACCAGTGTTTTACAAAATAGAAAATAGGTCAATTCTGCCCACTATCCTATAAATACTAGGGCAAGACTATTCTTACCAACTTCCTGAGGTTGTTGTAAAAGCGGACATATCACTGTAAGATGGGGGTGAGGGGATGGGGGTTGGATAGTCTTACTTGTGTCGGTTCCTGTATCCCCTGTGAGGTTCTCTGTGAAGTCCTGTAACTCGTCTCCAATCTCTTCCACCACGGTATCTCCCTCCAGTATGTCTCTCTGTTGTGTGGCTGGGAAGTCCAGAGCTAACAACCCTCTGTCTGTGGCCTGGGCTCTGGGTTGGTGTTGGTCCGAGTCAGTAGTAGACCCTAGCTGTGCTGTCACTGAGGCTGGTGATGTAGGTCTAGTGAGTGGATTAAATCCTTGGGTGTCTGTATAGTCACTGATAGTTCCCTGAAACTCGTCTTTGTCGTCCTGTTTCTCAGTTTCCTCAGGTGCCAGTGTGGAGTCCCTCAGCCCTGGAAACCAGTCCAGAGAGTCGGCCAGTCTGGCTCCAGCCGTGGGGCCTACAGGAGCCCAGGAGGGCCATATAGTGCTGTGTGAGGCCAGTACTGGGTCATCGATCTGTGTGTCTGTATGTGGGTGTGGTGGTGCCTTTGTGGCGCCCTCTGGGGCCAAGGTAAAGGCTTGAAGATGGAGGAGAGGAGCAAGGGAGAGGAGGAGAGAGGTCCACATCACAGCAGCCATGATGGAGACCCTACAGTGTAATGTTCTCTTTGAAGTCACATGATGCAGGTAACCATTGCTGTCCAATCACATGATTTCCAGCGAACTCTTCTTTCACCTCAACCCCACATACTTAAGAATCATTTCACCTGCAGAACACAGACAACACACACCGCAAAGTCAAATCAAATCACATTATATTTGTCACATGCTTCGTAAACAACAGGTGTAGACTAACAGTGAAATGCTTACTTATGGGCCCTTCCCAACAATGCAGATAGAAAGAAAATAGAGAAATAATAGAAACGTAATAACACGTAATAATAAGTATACAATGAGTAACGATAACTTGGCTATATACACGGGGTACCAGTACTGAGTCGATGTGTAGGGATACGAGGTTATTGAAGAACATATGTACATATAACTAGGAAAGTGACTACGCAACATTATAGATAATAAACAGTAGCAGCTGTGTACGTAATAAGTCAAAAAGGTTAATGCAAAAAGGGTCAATGCAGATAGTTAAATAGTTAACCAATAGTCACCCAGACTAACTATTTAGCAATCTTATGGCTTGGGGGTAGAAGCTAATCAGGGTCCTGCTGGTTCCAGACTTGGTGCATCGTTACCACTTGCCGTGCGGTAGCAGAGAGAACAGTCTATGACTTGGGTGGCTGGAGTATTTGATCATTTTTAGGGCCTTCCTCGCAGTCAGCATACAAAGAAACTGTAGCAGGGTCCTCTCCTCCACTAGAAAAAACATACCCTCCCATGTACGCATGCATACCTACTTTAGATTTTTCCCTGTCTCTCTCTGCCAATGTACTCAGAAAGTAGCACAGCACTCACCCTAGATATACGCAGCAACACCAATCACTTTAATCTCTCCCTCTCCATCATTCTCTCTCTTCTTTGGCTCTTCACAACTCCCCCACCACTGCCTTATTCTTCTAGTCCAGCAGACAAATACCACACATTCGTAGTACTCACTATGCTGCATCCCTCTGCTCTCCATCAGACATGACAGGTCCCAGCTCAGCCAGGCAACAACAATCCCCTCTGTCCCACACAACGCTGCTGCTGCTGTATAGATCCCTCCGTCTGTCTGTGTGTGTGAGAGTGTGAGTTACAGGCTCACTCCTCTTCTCAGTATCACTCACATACGCTCCCCCTCTCTCTCTCTCTCGCCCTCCCTCGTTCAGTTTCTCTCTTTTTCTGATGTGTGCCGGGAATGCATGGTTCTCGTGGATACACCTCACTGTGCAAATTATTTATCAGTGCGGTCTGGTCGTATTATGGGATGGGAGCCAGAACACCCCCCCCCCCCCACCCATCAGTGAAAATAAAAATTAACTGGAAGGTGATGCTGTGCATATAGAATTAACTATCAGATCAATAAAGTGTATTGGATGTCATTTGCGGCTGGAGTTTAGACCAACCCTCTCCATGATACTTTACATAAAAGCAATAGTCAGTGTAAAAGTGACTCCGAATTAAAAGTATGGCACAAATTATGGCACACACATCACAAGGAATTTGTAGCGTGTTTGTGAGCCGAGCATGCACAACTGGTGTTTTATATTGTTATGGTGTGTGTGTCCTCTGCCCTCTGTCATCACACCATCTATATATCTCTCTTTCTCGCTCATACATGTACATACCCACTTCTCTCTGTCTTTATTTCTTGTTATCGCTCTTCTTGTACTCAACATGTTGATGCCATCAGACTGATAGATATAGTATTGTATCTCCCCGTGGGGTAAAGTCCAGGCTCATGTCCTCATTTAATTCCTCTGTGGATACTTTAAAATAAACACTGATCCACATACTGTACCTTGTTAATCTGTGTACATCTTCAATCTGTACAGAGTTGAATAGGACTATATGGGCCATTGTACTGTATCTACAGTTTATTATAGATCTGCTCTGCTAGTATACAACTGACTGGGGGTTGGATTATGGGTGAGTGTCATTGATTACAGCAGTGCATTCACAGAACATGAACCAATACATCTAGCCACTGTCTATTCAATATCATAGAGCAATAACAAAGCTGCATTGAGATATAGTATTCCAGTATGTTAAATTTACAGTGGTACTGACCAAAAATCCATTGGATTTAGAGCAATGATGAATGGATCGTCTTCAGTATCAATATCTCCTCCATCTCTCCTGTTTGTTGTTCAGACTATCAGGCAGGGTTGTGCTGATGGAGCAGAAAGCTCTTATTTATCCCTGTAGACACTGTAGAGTAGCTCGTCCCTGCCCTATTCATTTACCTGCCCTGGGGAAGATCAAACAGACAGGCAGGCAGGCCGGCAGGAAGACAGACATCAGTGTAGAATGAGATAGTTTGGTCTCAGGATTGAGGCATTATCTGTCCCTGGGAATCAGCAGAGTCAATGATCCATAACCAGAGATAGGCCCAATAATTTATCAATGATGGATCAATAACAGTAAACAGGACCTGCTCACAGTGGGTAAGCCTGGGGGTGGAGGGTCACAGAGTACATGATAGTCACCTGGGATAAAAAAAAACTTACCAGGCATTAAACCAGGGGTGTTCTGTACCACTCAAAACGGTGTTAGCTGGCTGAGCTGAAGCTCTGGGACCAAACACCAGTCTTCAGGTTTCACACAACAGTTGGCCACACCAGAGCCGACTGACACCCGGTGTGATGACCGCACAGGAAGGCACCAACCAGCCGGAACTAAAGGTTTCAGGAGAGGAACAATGACTGACCAAACACATGACCTCAGCGTTGGGCACGGCCAACCCCCCCCCCCACAGGCTATTTAAAAAATAACCTACCCACACTTATACACAGAAGGACACACACACTCAAGCTTGCACAGGAACACACACTCGGGAACACTCACACACACATACACAACTACATGCACATACACACCACGCACACACATCCACACACACCACGTTTACACACACATGCGCGCACACAGACATCAAGCACACACACACCACGCTTGAGTGCGCACACACTGTCTGCCTGCATGGCTGCTGAGTCAGGCCTGACAGGGGATGACTTGTCCAAACAGGGGGCCCAATGTGTCCCGTGTGTGTGTGTGTGTGTGTCAGAAAGGAAGCCTCCATTTGCATGTCCAAGAGATACAGGCCAGCTCATACCTGGCAATGAGAATTGCAGCATAAACTGCAGAGCATACTGTAGCAGCCATATTTAATGAATTAAATACTCTTAAAACACATGGTTGTTTCAACTATGAGAAAAGAACACACACACGTTAAAAACATAATAAATAATTACAAATGTATTTCCATTTTGGTCCTCAACTTTCAAGTTGTGGTCCTCTGTAGCTCAGCTGGTAGAGCACGGCGCTTGTAACGCCAAGGTAGTGGGTTCGATCCCCGGGACCACCCATACACGAAAAATGTATGCACGCATGACTGTAAGTCGCTTTGGATAAAAGCGTCTGCTAAATGGCATATTATTTATTATTAAGTTCTTCAATTCTGAATTCACAAATAAATCACAAAAATGCATTCATCTACAGATGTTTCTCGTTGACAAAAGCACAGCCTTCCAATTTTCTTAGGGAATTAAAAGATACAAGCGTTTTCGCTCTCTCCAAAAAAATAATTGGGTCTTCAAAATAACACAAATGTACAGTTAAGGGCTCGTTAAAAATACAAGGGATAATCACTAAAGTGTTGACTACACTCGAAAATGAATTAAGACATGAAACCTTATTCAATGAAAAGAAAATGGTCTTTGTTTGGATAAACATTTGAGTGCTCATAACGGTTTATGTAGCTCGTTGTTTAAATTAGCTAACGATCGTCCCCCCATATGTAGGTACTTTGTGAAATGAGTACCGTCTCTGATGAGTACTTCGTGGATGTTGGGGCGGAGCGACCTGGCACACGCTGAAGCATTCCCGTTCTCCTAGCAGCAGCATATTATGCTGGCAGCACGTGCGCGGATTTCTTTCTTCAAACTAAGAGTCCCCCTGCAAAGACATGGTACACTTTGGGAATATAGATTTTTTTTTAGCTCTCTAGTGCAGTGTTTCCCAACCCCGGTCCTCGAGTACCACCAACAGTACACATTTTTATTGTAGCCCTGGACAAACACTACTCATTCAGCTCTTTGAGGGTTTGATGATTAGTTGACAAGTTGAATCAGGTGTGCTTGTCCAAGGTTAAAATAAACATTTGTACTGTAGGGGGGTACCCGAGGACCATGGTTGGGAAACCATGCTCTAGTGCTACAACTGTTTTTCACAGCATTGCAACCACCTTTGAAAAAATTAATTGATAATTTTATGTATTATTTATACCAGCATTTATTTTCTAAGTTTACACAGATACTGGTATGTTGAAAGGTATTGTATAGGCTATATTTACATATATATATATTTTATTTTTATTTTATTTCGGATGTTGCACACCCTTCGCTGAATGCGTTGTGCAACATCCTAAATTGTCCGGTAGTGGAAAAGTGTATTTTATTAAGACGGCACACATTTCCCCAGGTTTTTTTTTCGGCGGCCCACCATTAAAGCTAGTTAAGGAGGACAATTATGCTTTTGCAGCCTGAATGGAGGATGCTTTAAGTACGAGCCGGTCCACGTGTGACACAAGAATATTACCCGCTGGGCACATCAATCCTAGACGATAGTGCAGATCTAGCGGCCACCATCGGCTGCCTAGGCTAGTTACACAGCCTGAAACTAAGCACTACAAAAACTTGGAAAGTTACCTTACAAGCCATAATGTTGAGTAAAATTAAATTTCAACTTACTCTACCCGTTGTCTGTGCGGTTGGTCCTTCTGCTGGTGGAAATGTGAGACAAAATATCTGCAGGAAAGTAGCTATTATTTACGATGACTTTTTAGAGCGCCGGTACTGCTATTGACATTTTTTATCACCTGGCACATGCGTAAAAAACAAACACCTGCAAGTCCACGGTTAGTATGCATACATCGCGTACATGTACTGTACTTCTGTCTTGTGCACGTGCCTTAGGTGATGAGCTAACAAATCGTGATAAATCGCCACACACAGAGACCCACGTTTTGAAGTCTGTTTAATAATATTTTCCTGTGGATATACATTTCCACCAGCAGAAGGACCAACTGTCCAGGCGACCGGCAGAGTAAATTGAAATTTAATTTGATTTAACTACTGGCTTCCAGCAGACTGTAAAATGTTTTGCATCCCAATTTCCAGCAACACTAGTGTGTCAATACAGCGTTGCTAAAAGCAGCTGTTTGCCCTTGAGAAAGTCAGGGGTCCAACTGCTACAGCTACATTTACATTTACGTCATTTAGCAGACGCTCTTATCCAGAGCGATTTACAAATTGACACAACAACATCATGGTTGTCCATAGGCTAGCGTGCAATGAATGAATAAATCATTGACTATGGTAAAATTACAATACAATAGAAGTACTAGCTATCTATAATGTTACATCATGTTTATACAGCAAATCTGTCTGCAAAATAAAAACATTCAATTTCTCATTCTTTTCCCCTTCCAGACCAAAGCCTTAGAGCACCACCAGCACCCCCTACAGGCTTCCTAACTCAGCACTCACTGTCCCTGCTGTCACCATGTTATTCCGTGGAGTCACAGCTCACTGCATCAGCAAGACCAACACCTTGTACCTGAACGAGACGGCATCACCTTCACCTGGGCCTCCCCATGGCCCTCCGTCTGCCCTGAACGATGCAGCAGGTACCCCACCAGCCCTTACCCCACGCCCAACCAAGCCCCTGCTGCTAATGATTCCCTGGTTGGGGTCGCGACCCCAGGCTGTGGCCAAGTACTGTGAGATCTATTTCCGTAAAGGCCTCGACGTGTTCATAGTGGCGAGCGAGGTGCGGAATGGGTTAAAGTTTAAAGAGGAAACGTCATACTCTCTCTGCTCTCCTTTCTGTCTAAAACACCTCAGATCCCCCCTCCTCTGCTCAGTTACTGTGGCCGTGCTGGGGTCTAGACTATGGAGCAAGGGTACTAGATGTCCTGCAGAGTGACCGCTTTGTGTCACGCCCCCTGCTCGTGCACACCTTTTCCATAGGAGGGACACCTTTACCCAGCTACTTGTGCACGTGTCCCACGACTCACGGAAGTACCACGGCTAAACTAAGAGGATCAGAGGCCACATCTATGACAGCCTAGTGCTGGGCTCACTGGAGAGAAATTAGTTTATTATGACATAGAAACACTACTATGATAGGTATGATTTTATATGTTGAAAATAATCTATGCAATCTTTATGAATTTTTATTAAAATAAATAACGTTTTGTCAAGACATACTGCAACTTTTCAATGCAATGTTTTCCAACAGAGGTGCTGTTTTACTGTAACTGGATTAAAACATGAATTGAGATGAATTTGTCAATGTTCCCATGAGTTGATTTTCAAATATTTACACTGGCAAGGATGCAGAGTCTAACATTTTCTATGTACAAGATCTTTACACGATTTGGTTCCAGATTTGGTTTCACAGTTGTGAAGAGGGCACGACAAAGCCTATTCCCCCTCGGGAGACAGAAAATATTTGGCATGGGTCCTCAGATACTCAAGAGGTTCTACAGCTGCACCATCGAGAGCATCCTGACTGGTTGCATCACTGCCTGGTATGGCAACTGCTCGGCCTCCGACCACAAGGCACTATAGAGGGGCCAGGCTTCCTGCCATCCAGGACCTCTATACCAGGCGGTGTCAGAGGAAGGCCCTAAAAATTGCCAAAGACTCCAGCCACCCTAGTCATAGACTGTTCTCTCTGCTACCGCACGGCAAGCGGTACCGGAGCACCAAGTCTAGGTCCAAAAGGCTTCTTAACAGATTCTACCCCCAAGCCATAAGACTCCTGAACAGCTAATGAAATGGCTACCCGGACTATTTGCATTGTCCCCCACCCCCCACCCCTCTTTTACGCTGCTACTACTCACTGTTTATTATCTATGCAAAGTCACTTTTACCTCTACCCACATGTACATATTACCTCAATTACCTTGACTAACCTGTGACTCTGTACCGGTACCCCCTGTATATAGCCTTGCTACTGTTATTTTTACTGCTGCTCTTTAATTATTTGTTATTTTTCTATTTATCTTAGAACTGCATTGGGCTTGTAAGTAAGCATTTCACTGTAAGGTCTAAACCAGTTGTATTTGGCGCATGTGACAAATACAATTTAATTTGATTTAGCCAATTTTATCCATTTGTTTTAGCCAAACCTTTGCAAGTCATTATCCGCCAGTACCACCGTGACCACTTGTGTTAGCTATTGTCATGCGTTCTATTTTTGGAGATCATGGTTAAAAGAACAGAAATGTTAGACTTTGTGTGACTCTGGTTTGTGGAAACATGCGTGTTTGTTTAGAGAGATGGCGCAAAAGACTGCACACACAGCTAGTAGCTTTGCATGATACATGCACGGTGGCAGGAATGCACTGACTAGTTAGTTTGCTCACTACTATAACGGAGAAGAAGAGTTGCCGGAAATCACGGATTACAACTTCCTTTCTATTCCAAAATGGCTGCCCCGTTGAGAAAACGTGTGTTTACCATTTGAAAATACTTGCGTTTACCATGCTTTCATACAGTTTTCCTATTCTTTTGATAAAATTATCAATATATTGGAAGTAAACATTATTCGTTTGGATAGTTTAGAATTAGCTGAGGAGACTATACATTTGGAAGTGTCGGAAAGAAAGTAGCTAGCTAGTTTGTTAGCTTGCCAGTGCAGTGTGCTCCATTGGTTGACTGGCTAACAAAAAGCAACAGTGATCAGAAGAAACGTAAGGTCTTAGTACAGAATAAGCCATGTCAGCCCTTACAATATTCGTCCGGAGTTTGCCAGCAGATGCATCTAACGACCGCCTGGAGGAGATATTCTCTGAAATTGGACCTGTGAAGCACTGCTTTGTTGTCAAGGAAAAAGGTGAGACGGCTACTAGCTAAAGTTAGCTAACCTTATGACATTTGTCATCTTTGTAAAATGGTGCTAATGATCTCAACGTCAGAGTGTCATGAAACTACAAGAAGTCAGACCCTGTCATGCTTTGTAATAATATTAAACAATATGTATGAAACGTGAAAAGTTAAACCACAGTCTGGCATGTGGTCCCTTCAGGTGCAGAGAAATGTCGGGGGTTTGGGTATGTCACCTACTCCATGGAGGAGGATGCACAGCGCGCTGTGAGAGAGGTGAAAGACTACGATGGACAGAAGATCAACGTGTCTGTGGCCAAGAAGAAACTAAACGACAAGAAAAGGGGAACAACAGGTATGGAAAACTTATGTGGATGCTTAGTTTGTTATTTAGCTACCTACGTAATTCAGGTCTACCTTACATTTGTGATGGTGAAAGTAGAGGATCAAACATTTATTGTGGTCTTGTCTTCTACACAGCCACAGCACCAAAAGAACCAGTACCACAAAAAGAACAGAAATCTGAAGGAGGCTTAAAGAAAAACCGAAGGAAAGCCAGACTGATCATCAGGAATCTCAGTTTCAAGGTATGAAACACATAAACACTCACACAGATAAACAATCTTTCTCTTTGTGCTCCGCTTTATTGTCTGCAGTTAAGAAAATATGTAAGATGTTTTATTGTCACATACACCCCGGATGTGTTGTTTTACAGGGTCAGCCATAGTAGTACGGCACCCCTGGAACAAATTAGGGTTAAGTGCCTTGCTCAAGGGCACATCGACATTGTCGGTTCAGGTATTCGAACCAGCAACTTTTTTGGTTACTGACCCAACGCTCTAACCACTAGGCTACCTGCCGCCGAGTTAGTTGTGAATGTTTATGTCTTATGTTCCCACAGTGCTCGAATGATGATCTGAAGCAGACCTTTGCCAAGTTTGGGACAGTTCTGGAGGCCAACATCCCGCTCAAACCAGGTACAGACTTCACTTTGAGGCCCTCTGTAGCTCAGTCGGTAGTGCATGGCTCTTGTAATGCCAGGGTTCGATTCCCAGGGCCACCTATATATAAAAAATGTATGCACGCATCGCTGTAAGTCGCTTTGGATAAAATCGTCTGCTAAATGGCATACATTCCATTACTTTGAGCAAATCACCACCCAACCACACTAAGCACTGTTGAGCCTTGGTGAATTTTGTTGCGCTAAGACAACTTTAATGTCAATAACATGTTTTCTATCTGGTGGTTGACCATTCCTCACTGTTAATCTTCAGATGGGAAGATGCGGGGCTTTGCGTTTGTCCAGTTTAAGAACGTCTTGGAGGCAGGAAAGGCCTTGAACGCCATAAACCTGAAGGAGATCAAAGGTGAGACACCTTAACCTGCTGTGTGTGTTTGTATGTGTGAGAGAGACGGACACATTTTTCTGCCCTGTGAATATCTCGCATAAAGATGGGGAGCATCTCAACAGTCTATTGTGGTTTCCTCTACTCTGATCAAGTCATTATATCCTCGATCCTTTACAGGAAGGCAGGTAGCTGTGGATTGGGCTGTGGCTAAAGACAAGTTTGTCGCTACTCAGCCAGGAGCTAAGAAAGAGGAAAAGGTCACAGCAGAGAAACCGGCACCTGAAAGTGACTCTGAAGAGGAGGAGAAGGAAGAAGATGATGATGAAGAGGAGGAGGATGAGGAGGAGGAGGAGGAGGAGAAGAAGAAACCAGTAGCACATTCAAAGAACAAGTATGAGCTTTTGCAGTCTTTTAATCTCTACTTCTGCATGTCCTCAGTTTATTGAACTAAAGTGAATGATGGGCTGTAAATATTTAGACCAGGGGTGTTAAACTTATTCCAAGGAGGGCCTAGTGTCTGCAGGTTTTTGGTTTTTCCTTTCAATTAAGCCCTAGACAAACAGCTGTGGGGAGTTCCTTACTAATTAGTTACCTTATTTCATCAATCAAGTACAAGGGAGGAGCGAAAACCCGCAGCCACTCGGCCCTCCGTGTAATGAGTTGGACACCTGTGTTTTAGACCTAGGCTACATTTATCATGTCTGAATTGGTCTTCTTTGGCCTGACTTTGTCCTTTGGTTCTGAGGACTGGAGTACTGCAGCCAGGTTCTTGTTCAACTGTTGTGTTTAACTGTCCTCTCTACAGAGTCAGCTCTAAGCCAGCTAAGCAGCCAGACAGCCCATCAGAGGACGAGAGTGAAGAGGAGGATGGAGAGGAGGATCAGGAGTCAGATGGCAATGATAAAAGTGACCTTGGGTCTGATGAAGACGATGATGATGATGATGATGATGAGGATTCTGGTATGAAACGGTTGTCTTTTCTTGTGATGTAATTAGTGTGTATGCTCCACCTTGCCCTCTGTTTGAACCCCTCTGACTATTCTCTCTCTGTCCCTGGCCTTTTCTCTCTGTCTCTCTCTCTCTCTCTCTCTCTCTGACACTCTAGATTGTGGAGCCAAGAGGAAGCCCCTCCCGTCAGACATCAATGAGGGCAAAACCATCTTCATCAGGAACCTGTCGTTTGATACGGAGGAGGAGGGCTTGGAGGAGGTGTTACTGCAGTATGGAGAACTGAAGTACATCAAGATCTGCCTACACCCAGACACTGAACACTCTAAAGGTATAGTCCTGGCTCCAACACAACATCATTCTCTCTCTGTCTCAGTCTTCTCTTAAACTTAACCAATGCGATGAAGTGATTCCAGTCAGAAGATAGTCTACATGTTAATATTGAATCATGACTGAATTGGTTGGTAATGGTTGTTGACTATGTTGTTGTGTTTGGTCAGGTATTGCATTTGCTCAGTTCAAGTCTAAAGAAGCAGCAGAGAAATGCATTGCTGCTGCAGAGGATGAGTCAGAGGTGAGACGGAATAGAATGTTAAAGTACTAATGTATTCTCTACGTACATCTCTTCTGAGCCCAGAGAGCTCTGAATTGATGTTATGTATGTTTGGGGGTAACATGTTTGTGTGTGTCTGTCTCAGAGCGGGGGTATCCGTGTGGATGGTAGGAAGCTTAACATTGTAGCGGCGGTGAGCAGAGAGGATGCCGTCAAACTGAAGGACAAGAAGGTCAAAACTCATACAGGGACCAGGAACCTCTACCTGGCTAGAGAGGGATGTAAGTTACTTCTCCTCTCCTCCCTTTTCCTCTCCTCGCCTCCCTTTTCCTCTCCCCACCCCTCCATCTCATCGCTCGCTCTCTCTCTCTCTCAGTGATACGGGCAGGAACTAAGGCAGCTGAGAGTGTTCCAGCAGCAGACATGGCCAAGAGGACCAGAGTGAGTACTTCCTGTTTTTCAACCAATCAAAGCATCAGGGCTTTGTCTTACAACCAATCACAACACATTGTGTTGGTAACTGAGGGCTTGTATCCTCAGTGTATGTTTGTTTGAGGAAGGCCAGAGTGTGTGTGCATTTGTTGTTAACTCCTTTCTCCTTCTGTGTTAGTTTGAGGACCTGAAGCGGACCAAGCTACGGGACATGAATGTGTTTGTGTCTAAGACCCGTTTGTGTGTCCACAACCTGCCCAAGTTTGTAGATGTCAAACAACTACGACAACTCTGCCTGAAAGCTGCAGGGGGTGGCAAGGTGGCCCGCATTACTGAGGTAAGACCCTACTACCACATTTCCATAGCTGTTTCCATCTGAGTAAAATCTATGTCCATCTCTCCGGGTGATCTCTTAGTGACCACCAGGTAGAACTATTGTCCTATAAAGTTGTCCATGTTGAATGACCTTTCATTTGTCTCTCTTTACAATCTCTCTCCCTCTCTCTGCTTTCTTTGTTTACCATTTGCCTCTCTTCCCCCTTTCTTTTCCTCACTATCTCTATCTGTATGCCACCCCCCCCCCCCCCCTCTCTCTCTCTCTCCAGTGCAGGGTGATGTATGATAAGAAGCCGGAGCGGGGTCAGGTGTTAGGCCGGTCGCTAGGTTACGGCTTTGTTCAGTTCCAAGATCATGAACACGCTCTGAAGACACTACGATACCTCAACAACAACCCTGACATCTACGGAAACACCAAGGTGTGTGTGTGGCACTGTGTCATTGTTGATCTGTCCAGAGCTCGTCCTTAACCTTGTCCTGGACAGAATGCAGCTGTGTTTGAGAGTGTAAATCCCAGGTTATGTTTCAGGATGTTGTCTTTGCCTCTCAATAGCTGATGTCAGTAACTGCAGTAATTTATATCTGAACAACATTGGATCTGGACTCCAACATTGTAGTAATCAATATCGATTGTTCCTGAGGAATGTAAGGAGAATGCTGAATTACACGTACTCATGTTTGGTTTGGCAACCTACAGCATCTGATCAATATTGACTGTTTTCTTGCTAAATGATGAGAATTCATAGGTTGTTATGGATGTTTTTTTCTTGTGTGTGTCTGTCTACAGAGGCCCATCGCTGAGTTCTCTCTTGAAGATGGAAAGAAGCTGAAGATGAAAGAAATGCGACAACAACAAGTCAAGGTGTGTCTCTCTTCTGTGTGTGTGTTGGTGTGTGATGATTAAAATAAAGAGTAACAATTTTCTGCCTCTGTGGTTCCCAGGAGCGTTTCAAGGGGCGGGGCCCTCAGGGAGGAGGGAAGCTGCAGCCGCAGTCTGGAGGCAAGACTGGACCTCAGAGGGGTGTGTCTAAACCCCAGAGTGCCATGGTAACGAAGGAGGGGCCAGCGAAGACCCAGACACAGTCGTTACCATCCGGCCAGGGCAGAAAGGATGGAGGTATTTCTGCCCTAACCCTGAATATAAAACCAATAGCTCATCAATTCTGGCGGAAGTGCTATTTTCCCTCCTTTTTCTATGTCTTCTTTTTGCTTTAGCTTTTTTGTTGTCTCTGACATTTCTCTCCCTTTTTCTTTCTCTCTTGTCTAGTTCCTCCCTCGCAGCCACAGGACCAGAAGCAGGGCCGGCAGTACGCAGGCTTCCAGACCACTCCAGTTCTAGAACACGTAGAACTGGAGGATGGAAAGAAAAGACGGAAGGTTCTAGCCCTGCCCTCCCACCGTGGCCCAAAGATCAGGTAACATACACACACAAATACTTTACCTATCACAATGTAACCCAAACTACATGGTATAATTTTCGTTGTGCAGGGCGCGTGATAAGGGGAAGCAGCAGCAGCAGCCTGCCCAGCTTAAGAAGCCCAAGAACCGGCCCAGCAGGAGAGAACTACAGGGAGGAACGTCACTGGAGAACCCTACACAGCCCAGAACACAGGTACACTCGCGCACACACACACAAACACATTACCCATGTCTGCATGTCGTGGCCCCAAGATCAGGTAATACGTTAAACTGTCTTCAATTGTTTTCCAGAGTGCTAAAGGGGCCAAGAAGCGGTTTAGGAGCCAAGAGGACGACCGCTTTGACAACCTGGTTGAACAGTACAAGAGGAAACTGATGGGCGGCAAAAAGACCGCAACCATCAAGAAGAACAAGTGGTTCAACAGTTAGGGGTGTGTGTGTGTGAGAGAGAGAGAGCGAGGAAATTTTTTGGTATAACCTTTTCCTTATGTTGGTTTCTACATCATTCACATGTTGAAACAAGGATATGATGGTTGAAATGTTGGAATAATATTCACCAATGAACTGTGTAGAATGAAGTAGAGTCGTATGTCTGTGTCCTCATGTTATAGGCAACGTGTGGTGTGCCATCAGTGGTAAAGGAAAGCTTAAGAGGTGGAATATCAGAGTAGTGTCACTTCCTGAATTGACCCCGACTCTGACAGACTGCATCAGAGGTTGAAAGCACATGTTAAACATGAATGTGTGGGTTTGTTTTCTACGTCCAACGTGTGTTCTTCAGAACAGATGCTGATGTTTTACTCTGTACTGTGCTTTATGTTCATGTTAACAATTGGTGAATAATAATGTAAAGAATATTAGAGCTTTCAGAAATGTAAATGAGTGACATTTTTATTAAAGAATTTACAAAGACAGACAGTTTAATCTGTGTTCCTTATGTTAACTGGTCATCTGTGATTCAAGAAAATCAATACATTTTGTGAACACCCACATAGACCCACACAATGTTGATATGTGTACAAAACCCTTTACACTTTAATCATGGAACCCTCTCTCTGGCTGGGACAGAGACATCAACTTTGACCTTTACTGCTGAGGTAGGCTACCATACCCTGTCTCAGCCTGGCTCCATTGTCCAGTGGCAAAGGCCACTTCACACCTCTGTGTTAGGGACCAGGTTGCCAGGGAACTTCATCTGACTGGGACCAGCCAATCACAGGCCATAGCTGGTGGGGTTACAGTCCCTCACTTCTATCTGAACCCTTTAGTTGCATTCTGGAGTCCAGCTTGAGAACACCTCTGTAAACTCCTGGGCTCCACACCAACTCACCAGCTGGACCTCTCCATGTGGACAATCCTCCATGCTGGACATACTGTGTCCGGACAGGGCTTGACACCATGGGCCAAAAAGGTGACTGGAAATTGTGTTGTAAGATGCAAGGAACCACTTCACAAAATAACATTCATTATTATCACTGGTATTGACAATAGAAGGCTGCTGCTCTGATCCCATGTATTATACAGTATCTCCATCCATTGTGGCCTTGAGCAAGGCACTTAACCCCCCAACAAAGTAAAATACTGCACTGACAGGCTAATGTATAAAACACATGGTCCGTCTACATTTACATTTACGTCATTTAGCAGACGCTCTTATCCAGAGCGACTTACAAATAGGTGCATTCACCTTATAGCCAGTGGGATAACCACTTTACAATGTTTTTTTTATTTTTTTTATCCTATCCCAGGTATTCCTTAAAGAGGTGGGGTTTCAAATGTCTCCGGAAGGTGGTGAGTGACTCCGCTGTCCTGGCGTCGTGAGGGAGCTTGTTCCACCATTGGGGTGCCAGAGCAGCGAACAGTCTTGACTGGGCTGAGCGGGAACTATGCTTCCGCAGAGATGGGGGAGCCAGCAGGCCAGAGGTGGATGAACGCAGTGCCCTCGTTTGGGTGTAGGGACTGATCAGAGCCTGAAGGTACGGAGGTGCCGTTCCCCTCACAGCTCCGTAGGCAAGCACCATGGTCACTGGAAGCCAGTGGAGTGTGCGGAGGAGCGGGGTGACGTGAGAGAACTTGGGAAGGTTGAACACCAGACGGGCTGCGGCATTCTGGATGAGTTGTAGGGGTTTCATGGCACAGGCAGGGAGCCCAGCCAACAGCGAGTTGCAGTAATCCAGACGGGAGATGACAAGTGCCTGGATTAGGACCTGTGCCGCTTCCTGTGTAAGGCAGGGTCGTACTCTCCGAATGTTGTAGAGCATGAACCTACAGGATCGGGTCACCGCCTTGATGTTAGCGGAGAACGACAGGGTGTTGTCCAGGGTCACGCCAAGGCTCTTCGCACTCTGGGAGGAGGACACAACGGAGTTATCAACCGTGATGGCGAGATCATGGAACGGGCAGTCCTTCCCCGGGAGGAAGAGCAGCTCCGTCTTGCCGAGGTTCAGCTTGAGGTGGTGATCCGTCATCCATACTGATATGTCTGCCAGACATGCAGAGATGCGATTCGCCACCTGGTTATCAGAAGGGGGAAAGGAGAAGATTAGTTGTGTGTCGTCAGCGTAGCAATGATAGGAGAGGCCATGTGAGGATATGACAGAGCCAAGTGACTTGGTGTATAGCGAGAATAGGAGAGGGCCTAGAACTGAGCCCTGGGGGACACCAGTGTTGAGAGCACGTTGTGCGGAGACAGCTTCTCGCCACGCCACTTGGTAGGAGCGACCGGTCAGGTAGGACGCAATCCAAGAGTGAGCCGCGCCGGAGATGCCCAGCTCGGAGAGGGTGGAGAGGAGGATCTGATGGTTCACAGTATCAAAGGCAGCAGACAGGTCTAGAAGGACAAGAGCAGAGGAGAGAGAGTTAGCTTTAGCAGTGCGGAGAGCCTCTGTGACACAGAGAAGAGCAGTCTCAGTTGAATGACCAGTCTTGAAACCTGACTGGTTGGGATCAAGAAGGTCGTTCTGAGAGAGATAGCAAGAGAGTTGGCTAAAAAAGGCACGCTCAATAGTTTTGGAGAGAAAAGAAAGAAGGGATACTGGTCTGTAGTTGTTGACATCAGAGGGATCGAGTGTTGGTTTTTTGAGAAGGGGTGCAACTCTCGCTCTCTTGAAGACAGAAGGGACATAGCCAGCGGTCAAGGATGAGTTGATCAACGAGGTGAGGTAAGGGAGAAGGTCACCGGAGATAGTCTGGAGAAGAGAGGAGGGGATAGGGTCAAGCGGGCAGGTTGTTGGGCGGCCTGCCGTCACAAGTCGCAAGATTTTATCTGGAGAGAGAGGGGAGAAAGAAGTCAAAGCATAGGGTAGGGCAGTGTGAGCAGGACCAGCAGTGTCATTTGACTTAACAAACGAGGATCGGATGTCGTCAACCTTCTTTTCAAAATGGTTGACGAAGTCATCCACAGAGAGGGAGGAGGGGGGGGGGGGTTCAGCAGGGAGGAGAATGTGGCAAAGAGCTTCCTAGGGTTAGAGGCGGATGCTTGGAATTTAGAGTGGTAGAAAGTGGCCTTAGCAGCAGAAACAGATGAAGAAAATGTAGAGAGGAGGGAGTGAAAAGATGCCAGGTCTGCAGGGAGTCTAGTTTTCTTCCATTTCCGCTCAGCTGCCCGGAGCTCTGTTCTGTGAGCTCGCAATGAGTCATCAAGCCACGGAGCTGGAGGGGAGGACCGAGCCGGCCGGGAGGATAGGGGACATAGAGAGTCAAAGGATGCAGAAAGGGAGGAGAGGAGGGTTGAGGAGGCAGAATCAGGAGATTGGAGGGAGAAGGATTGAGCAGAGGGAAGAGATGATAGGATGGAAGAGGAGAGAGTAGCGGGAGAGAGAGAGCGAAGGTTGCGACGGCGCATTACCATCTGTGTAGGGGCAGAGTGAGTAGTGTTGGAGGAGAGGGAGAGAGAAAAGGATACAAAGTAGTGGTCGGAGACTTGGAGGGGAGTTGCAGTGAGATTAGTAGAAGAACAGCATCTAGTAAAGATGAGGTCAAGCGTATTGCCTGCCTTGTGAGTAGGGGGGGACGGTGAGAGGGTGAGGTCAAAAGAGGAGAGGAGTGGAAAGAAGGAGGCAGAGAGAAATGAGTCAAATGTAGACGTAGGGAGGTTGAAATCCCCCAGAACTGTGAGGGGTGAGCCATCCTCAGGAAAGGAACTTATCAAGGCGTCAAGCTCATTGATGAACTCTCCAAGGGAACCTGGAGGGCGATAGATGACAAGGATATTAAGCTTAAATGGGCTAGTGACTGTGACAGCATGGAATTCAAATGAGGAGACAGACAGATGGGTCAGGGGAAAAATTGAGAATGTCCACTTGGGAGAGATGAGGATTCCTGTGCCACCACCCCGCTGACCAGATGCTCTCGGGGTATGCGAGAACACATGGTCAGACGAGGAGAGAGCAGCAGGAGTAGCAGTGTTTTCAGTGGTAATCCATGTTTCCGTCTACCCTCCATCAGCAGAGCTAATGGGTATGCAGGCTTTTGAGCCAACCTTGCTCAAACACCAGAATCAGCTTATCAAGGTTCTCTTGTGCAGCTGATTTTTTACAATGTGGTGTGTTCGAGCAGGGCTGGAACAAAAGCCTGCACACCCAGTAGCTCTCCTGGAGGATGGTTGGCCTCCCTGCAACATTACAATTACAACCAAATACTTTGAATGTCTTTATAAAATAATTCCCTCATTCAATGAACCAGGGATCAAATGGTTAAGGTGGGCGATGTAGCCAACTAAGATGTTTATCTATTTGTAAGGTTAAAATATTCAGTGTTCAGGGTAGATCTTGACAGCATAGGAGTTACTTATTAACAGTATTGAATAGAGGAGAATCCCAGCCAATTTTGAATGCTTGAGAGACTGTTTACAACCGGAGTATGCAGCATTGGTTTCATCAACTGTGCACCCGTATCAACTGCGTGTCGGCCATTTGCAGTTATACAGAAGTTATTTAGGACATCTGACATGCAGCCAGGTCACCCGTGATACAAGTCAATATTCGACGTCCATCTATGTCTGAGGATGTCGGGAGGTGAAGTGGAAACCGGCCACTAGGGGCAACAGTGAATGCGTTACCTTCAAGTAGGTTTCGGTTTTGTTAGGGCGTTGTGGACGGGGATGGTGGATGGGCATTTGCCTCTGACTGCATGTTTCGAATCCAGCGATAGAAAGTTGTTTTTGCGATTTTTGTTTTAAGCCTATACCAAACCTTACCTTAACCGTTCAGAGTTAATGCCTAACATTAAGATTTCAGAGTTAATGACTAAACTTAACCTTAACAATGTGGCGTTAATGCCTACACTTAACCTTAAACACTTCTACATTTGACGTTTGCAACAATAGTTAACTAGGGAGATAACCAGCCAAACTAGACAATATGTTTTGAATTGGCTATCTAATTAGTCTGGAATATTCAATAAACTCCCTGGTTTTCCTGAAATCCTGGTTGGAGGATCCTGGATCAGGAGGGAATGAGCGGGAAAGCCTCAAAGCAGGATTTCTGGAAAACCAGGGAATTTATTTATAGTTTCCTGGCATTTTGCTACCCTAACCCGGTGTGTAGGTGTTGGTGTGTTGTTCAATCAAATGGTAATCTATGATCAAGGTAATATTGCGTAACTCTAACATGTTTTTAGAGTTTCTGGAAATGTTGGATTGTAGAAACACCGTCACACACCCACATATTGTTTATAGACTATTTGTAATGTTTGCTGTAGGTCTTGACCCTGTTCCTCTCACCCACTCCCTGGCCTAGTCAATATGTGTATCAAATGATTCATTTGATGACAAAAGACTGATAAAGACAGAATAATTGAAAAGGAAACAATTTTATATCATCCAACATTAAATGGGTACATAAAATGGTACTCCAATGTACAAAAATATAGTACAGTATAAATATGGATATATAACATAAATGCTAATACTGTCAAGAAGAGAAGCAGTTGGGATGTGTTCAGTGAGGTGTCATCTTCAGAACGTTGCCGATAGAAATGTAATGGAGCTGAAATGACTCCTCTAAGAGACAGACAATCATATCTGTTCTATACAATGCATTTCTATATGAATGCACTGTAACATTGTACCCTCCTGAACAGGCCTCTGCTGTAGAGGAATGTACATCTTGCCCCCCTCTCTCTCCCTCACCTTCACTGCTCTAACATCAAAACATCTGGTTTCATGGCAAGGGGCTGTCAGGAAACCCTCTCTGTGAGCATGACATCACTACACATCAGTCATTTCATTTCAGTCATTTAGCAGACGCTCTTATCCAGAGCGACTTACAGGAGCAATTAGGGTTAAGTGCCTTGCTCAAGGGCACATCGACAGATTTTTCACCTAGTCGGCTTGGGGATTAGAACCAGCGACCTTTCGGTTACTGGCACAACGCTCTTAACCACTAAGCTACCTGCCGCCCCAGTCCTCTCTGGAGCAAGCAGCATTATCAGCATGTGTGTGTGTATGCACGTGTGTATACATTCTGCATTAGTCAGCTGATTCAGTGCTTAGGAAACACTTTCCCCTGCATCACTGACTGACAGGGGTACAACTAATGCAAATAAAATAAAGCTGCTTCTTTTCCTCTTCCTCATTGAAATAAATACCTCAAGCTAGAATCCTTGTCTGAAAAAAATACAATATAAATGTCTTATTAACTTAGTGACTGATGGTGACTGTGACTGTCCAGTCTTGCTTCAAATCATTCTAGGTTTTCAGCAGATCACGAGTTGATCACAGTTCAGTTACTCAATGAAAGTCATTGTCAGTAAACAGTTGTTCAGCATGGCACAAACTGATCTGAGTTCAGTCACTCAGTGATGATCAATGTCAGTAACAGCTGATCAGCAGTACCGGAGCTGATCCAGGTTCAGCAGTAGCCGATCGAGGTAGCCCTTGAGTCTGTTTAGTACCACTGGACTCACACTCAGACCAAACTTCCTGATACTGTCCTTCAGAGCCTCCTCCAACCCACCCTCTCCTGTCTGTTTCTGCTGGCGACCTGGGCAGCGCGACATCATCCAGTTCTCCAACTGACCCCTCGTAGTGGAGCTGTCTTCTACCAGCTGTTTGAGGTCCGCCATATCTAGGGAGATCAGCAGGTCCTGCTAGGGAGCTGGAGGGAGGGAGGGAAGGAGAGAAAGATGTGATTAAAATAAGATTTATGAGGACTATACATGGTTTCACAAGTCAAATGTATCAACAAGCCAAAGACTTCATTAGTCAGTACACTAATGATTGATTGACTGACTGACTAATTGATAGATGGATTGATTACCTTTTTGATTTCCATCTGTGTCTTGTACACCATGGTCTGAGCAAGGAATTTGACCTTGGTTCTCACTACATCTAACGACAGTGAAGCTCCCGCCCCCACGCTGAACAGTGCCAGTAGAGAGGACACCAGGAGGTCCATGGAACAATCCATATCTGTAGTCTGGATGAACGGGTGTACATGCGTGAACGTGTGTACGCGTCTCAATGTGCGTGTGTCTTGAACCTGGTGCTTAATCTGTGTGTGTATAAAGAATAGAACAGATATTCCTGTAGGAGGGCAGATATACATCCTATAAGTTCAGGTTGTTCTGTTATGGTCTGTTATAGAACACAGACACTTATGCACTTCAATAATGTTCATATTCATTTGATCATTTTTTAAAGTCTAAACTTCAATGGCATTTTTTGGTTGGAGATAAATATCTGTTTTAGACCAATCAATATTGGGCAGATGGTTGGCGGTGAAATCCCTACCAAGAGAGAACAGCCTGCCCTCTGATAAAAAGGTTACAGATAAGATTTACCGTACTACACCCATCCTACAGAAAACAGCCAGAACCCAGTCTATCAAGTCTACCTGATCTACTTGGCTGGCTGAATATTCCACATGCTTCCTTTCAAACGTTCTTTCTAAAGTTTAAAGTAAAATGTTTAGTGTAAAACGTTTATTTAAAATAAATGGCACCTCACTTCATGAAAGACAATCAAACCAAACCATGCATTACGGACAAGATAAACTTTCACTATATCACCTGTTCAAATCTGTACATATTATTTCAGTAGCACATACTAACACAGAGAGAGAGCGAGAGAGAGAGATGAGAAAGGATGATAGACAGAGAAAGAGTAATAGTGATAAAGCAAATGATAGAGGTAGAGATGGCAAGAGTGATAGAGAAAGTGCAGAGGCGAGTGAGGTGAGGGAATCTTACCTCTGGGGGTCTGTGTGTGTGTCACTCCCAGGCTCCATCAGGGCTTCTCTTATAGCTGAGGGCAGTTGACTCATCTCTTACTCACCCTCACCTCTCCCCCATCCTCCCCCTTACTCACCTCTCCTCCCCCTATACACAAGAGTCCCCTGGTAGTCTGGGTAGCAGGACAGGAGACAGCAGGTTCCCTGACCCTGTAGCTCATATACTGTAGGTGCTTATCTGTGTGTGTGTGTGTGTGTGTGTGTGTGTGTGTGTGTGTGTGTGTGTGTGTGTGTGTGTGTGTGTGTGTGTGTGTGTGACTACAGTACGTACCCAAGTGTATGTCACCATTAGGCTGATCCTTATTGATGCATGTGTCTCATTGACTGGTATGGGAGAGACTGTTAATGTCATTACAGTGTAAATGGCTACTGCAACACCCAGAACATGGGGAGAGAAGGGAGCAGATCAGTGTCTGATGACTGGAGGGAGTAGGCATCACAGTGGTCAGCAGTACATCAGTGTGTCTGATTACAGCACTGCCAGAGGGACACTGTCATGGTGCCAGAACTCTGGTCACACAGCTCTGGCAGTCCTAGTGACACTAATACAGCCTTACTGGTCACAGCCTTACTGGTCACAGCCCTACTGGTCACAGCCCTACTGGTCACAGCTCTACCGATCCAGTGTGAGGAAACAGTTTAGAATCCCAGTCTGAGAAAGTGGAGTGATCACTCTGATATCATTTCACCAGAGATGCCAAAACATACTCACAAACACATGCACACACGCAAGCACAATCAAACATACACTTCTCCACGACCCAAACAACGGCATTACCACCCTCTAATTTCACTACAGTTGTTATGGCTATATACGTTTTGTAACACTCTTATGAGAGTTCTATTTTTGATGTTCAGAGGCAATTTTTTGGTTTGTGTTTGGAACACAGGAAGTGAAAAAAAAGAGAGAGAAAAAGAGAGTTGAGAGAGCGAGCGACATAGAGAGAACAAGAGAGAGAGGGAGAGAGATTGAGAGAGAGTAAAAGAGAGTTGAGAGAGGAACATTTCCATGTAAAAGGACCCCATGTGCACCAACTTGTGAAGTTCATAGGAGCATGTCAAATTGGGTGTCAAATGAAACCTGAGTCTTTATATTTAAATGTAGGCATAAATACCATTTATGTCATCATATTAACCATTTGTCATCCTAAAAACAAGAATAAGCAGGAATAAGCAAAGAATTTGATTTATTGTCAAACAGATGGAAAAAAAAGGGGTCTTAGAAAACAACTACCAGAAAAAGTCTTAAAAGGTATTACAAATACATCAAAACACAATAATGTTGAAGTAAAGACCCCTGTCAACTAATAGCAACACTTATATTTAGTTTAGGATACTTTTTTCTGCCTTCTGTAATTTTAAGAAACATTGCCTTGTGCCTTGAAATTCCATTACCAAAACATTCTTCTTTTTTTTCTTCTAATATTTTCAAATTTCTCTCCCTGATGAGGAGGGAGAGAAAGGAGGATAATAAAAGTTCACAGAAGTAACACAGTAGTAACAAGTAAAAGTAGACCTAACAATTAGTTAATGTTTTTACTGATATCAATTTGGTTTATGAATTATTAAAGAAAAACTTCACTGCTAGACACTATTTGGAGTGTTTTTCCATTCTCCCTACATAATGAGGTGTTTCTGTCACGATCGTCTTGAAAAGAAGCGGGCCAAGGCGCAGCGTGAGATGCGTACATATTTCTTTTTTAGTACACCACAGCGAACAAAACAACAAACGATACGTGAAGTCCTACGGTACAAACACAAATCAAAAGGAACAAGATCCCACAAACACTGTGGGAAAACAGACTGTTTAAATATGGTTCCCAATCAGAGACAACCAGCAACAGCTGACACTCGTTGCCTCTGATTGAGAACCACTCTGGCCAACATAGAAACACAATAACTAGAACTACACCCTAGAAACACAAAACTAGAACAACACAAAGAACACTCACACCCTGGCTCAACATACAAGCGTCCCCAGAGCCAGGGCGTGACAGTTTCAGACATAATTGTGCACCATACCGGTGCAACATTTCTGAATTTTAACACTGGGAGAGTTCAACCAATGACGTCATTGGTTGATTGAGTGTACTGTCTGATCTAGAAATGAATGGAGTCATGTAGCAATTATTGTGGCCTTTGTGTTTCGCCGATTGCACGATCACGCTAGCAGTGAGTAGATATGGTTGTCCTTGTTCAATAGAGAAATTGGACTCATTTTCTCTGGCTTTATGAAGACTACAACCCGACGGGAGACCTACTTCCTTGTTCAATTGTGTTCCCACCCTCGAAGGTGGGCTTTTCAAAACGGGGCGGTACTAGTTTCTTTCTACAGGTTTCACGGGAGCTATGTTACTGTGCACTGTCTATTCGAGATTGCTAAATAATTACAATGGCTGCTTCTGATGATTCCGCTTTCCAAGAAGAGCTGGACGTCAAAACATTTTTCAATGTTCTTTTACATACGGACATACAGCCCTATTAATTTGAGCCAGAATACACTGAATAGGAGTTGAGACAGCGAGAACAAGAATAGCAAGACCAGCAAACAGCGGCTGCTGCAGCCGCCACTGCTGCTCCTGATCCTGGAGAGCCACGGTCAGACTCCGACTGGTGGTGCCTATGCGGGTGCTGTCCAGCCATGCTGACAGAAGAGGAATGTCTGGGCTGCAACGAATTCGATCGTGGGCAGTTCTTACTGGAGAGGGTCACTGCAGACCCCATGGATTGTGTGTGTATGACAGACCATCGAGGGGTGCTGGAGACATTCTTCAGAACCTCCAAGATCAACTGATGGCGGCAGCCTAGACCAGTTGTACCAGGAGGGAAAATTAGTAAGTTGTTTTGCTGTCGGTAGCTAGCTAGCAATATAAGCTCTCTTTTAACACGAGGCAGTGTTGTTCAGTACAGTATAATTTTGTGGCCCCACTGTGGAAAGGGGAGATTCTCACGAACACAATGTTGTTCTCTGTTTTGCTACAACCCCCACAATTGTCACGGGACTCATCTGAAAGTAACCGTTACCAGAAAAGGGGTTTAATATATATAATATTTCCTGAGCTGTCTTATACAGTATCTCCTAGATATAGGACGAACACTTTCTTATTATTTATTTTTTTGACTGTCTTTTTGCCATTTATTAATGTGTTATTCAATGCGTTTCTCAGGTCTATACTAGTAAAGGCCAAATGTAATATTTTATTAAATCATTTTTTGATAAAACATTTTTATAGCTAAAGGGGTCTTAAAATTCCAAATCAAATAGCTAAATGATCCATAGTATGACCATCTTAAAACAATTCCATATGTCAGCTTAGAACCATGTTGACTGAATGTTCCAGGCAGGGTCCTGAATGTTGTTCAGCTGGTGAAACTCTTCTTGTGTTGGGCAATGGCAGCTGGTTAGCAGGCTTTAGCGCTGTGGCGATGTTAGAAGGGATGTTGGGTTTGGGGAGCAAGCTTCTCCCTGAAGTAGTGGACAAACCTTTCCCACCCACTGCTTTGACCTCTTGCAGAAGATTTGTTTGTACCGCTTTGGGGTATACTTCAGGAGAGCACTGTGGAATGCCTCCAGATGGCCTGTGTGTTTACAAAGACAAAACAGAGTAGACTAATTATTTTGGCTTTTCTGATTGAAAATATTAAAACATGATGCTGTTATTGATGACTACTAACCTGTAGAGGTATTCATACACAACTGAGTCCATGGACAGTCACTTCTTCTTGCCACGGTCATAATCGGACAGGTCAGGGTGTTGACAGTGGACTTCCCCCTCAACTCTGTCCAGCTGTGTACATCACAGATGTGCTCCTTCAAAGACAGACAACATATATTTGCTTTTAGATATCTTGAGAACAGGACATGCACCAGTACAATTACTAGGTGTCTCCTGGACCAGTGCATATGGATCAGAGTTAGGGGTGAGAATGACGGCACATTACAGTGAACAAGATAAATACGTCACAGAGTTTGCGTTTTTCTCCATTTCATTTACCTCAGGGTCTCCATTAAACTTTGCTGCACAACAAAACGTGGTTCGTGAGGGAGTGTATCCAGGGACACAAGGCCTCATTCCCTCGCTTCTTGGCCTTCAGCAGAAGTTTCTTTTGGAGACCCGTTTGAAAAACAAATTGACTGACCATTCAAACGTTTTTATACAACACATTGATCTGCCCTTTTTGAAACTATGACAGAAAGCGATGTGTGTAATTTCTGATATCATATAAATAGTCTTGTAAGGTTGGGTTCTGCAGTGCTAACCTTTCACTGTATGCCACACATCGAGCTCATGTTGGATGTCAGAGAAGAGCTCCCTCATCATCTTGCGAATAGAGGGGGAATGGTCACTTGTGACCACATCCACTTGGAGATCCATGTTGTCCAACAGCTCTGTCAGGGCCCACTTGAAGCCAATTACCTCTATCGCAACAGAGCTGGGTGCCTCTGTGACCTGTAATGGGCAAAAGTAAAACAGAATTACAGCCAGCCACCAGGTGTGATAACGCAACATGCCATTGACCATCATACTGTAAACTGTATTAATTGTACTGTACCTGTATCAGTTCGCTGTGCACAATCTCGTTGGTGTCATTGGTCATCAGGGTATAGGTGGTGTATTTAGCACTTTAGAGACAGAGTACAGAATAATGGTTATTGATCCCAACTTGGGATTTTTTAAAATCACTTATCATCACCATAACAATTATAAAGACCTGTATCACTGAAAACACATGATAGAAAACACATACTAACACACATAAGTAGGCACTGCACGTTAAATAGCAATAAAAGATAGAGACCTGTAGCCTGGACTGTCGCTGCGTGCATCCCCAGACAGCTTTGTTCCAACACCATTTTCCTCCTGATCCAGGAACAGTCTTGCCAAAATAGCATTCCTTCGTTAAACAGGTAGGTATTCTGAATCTGATAGATGGTGGTGCTGCCAAACAACTTCAGGTTCATGGTCTGAGTCCAGTCCTGCAGCTCGGTGTAAGTGCCTCCTGAAAACAGCACAGACACAGCCGTGAGAAGCTGAACATCTGCCATTTCCCGAATGTCAGGACTGGAGGTCCATGTTCCTGTGTGTCCACCATTACAGTTCCACTTCACTTTCATCATGTCCCCAACATATGAAATGTCTGTAGAGACGATTGGCTGTCAGAACTTAGTGAGCTCCATGATCTTGGACTCATAGACTATATACTTTGGCTCTTGCCGGTCCCGTGCAGTCTTTTCCTCTTCCGAGTCAGATGAGCTTGAGCTTGTTCCCAGGCTGAAAGCTTTCATCCAATGGGTCTACGGGATCTGTACTACTAAAGTTGGTATTTAGGTCATCATCCGCAGCTGCAGGATTTGTCTGTAGGACACACGGTAGTCAGTGATTAGCCAACATTTTAGTACTTTGTCCCAATCAATACACACTCAAACAAGGTACTATATCCACCCATCCCCCTCATGTCAATAGATCATGCATACTAATCTTCACACACAAAACCCGCCCCCAACATACATCAGTCAGTCACCCACACCATCCCCTCCTAACTAAAATCTCTACTTTTCTCTAATGTAGACTTCAAGCTTTGCATAAACAATCAACTAAGCCTCCATAATACAGAGAAAAGTACAGTAGAAGTTGTAGCCTACTTATAAACACACCTACTATGACAATAAGAGACAGACCATGTTTATGCCTAGCTCCAGTATATTTATATGCTCATCATGGAGTCATGGAAAGATTTAGCAAAGGTGACTTACACTAGTTCCTGGTGCTGAGCTTGATGTTTATGCCGCTGCAGATCGGACTCTGTAAATAGAACACATAGGCCAGTCATGTTAGCCTTTGCGGTAGCTAGCTAATGTTTAGATACACTACATGACCTAAAGTATGTGGACACCTGCTCGTCGAACATCTCATTCCAAATTCATGGGCATTAAAATGGAGTTGGTCCCCCCTTTGCTGCTATAACAGCCTCTACTCTTCTGGGAAGGCTTTCCACTAGATGTTGGAACATTGCTGCGGGGACTTGCTTCCATTCAGCCACAAGAGCATTAGTAAGGTCGGGAACTGATGTTGGGCGATTAGGCCTGGCTCGCAATCGGCGTTCCAATTCAACCCAAAGGTGTTCGATAGGGTTCAAATCAAATCAAATCAAATGTTATTTGCCACATGCGCCGAATACAACAGGTGTAGACATTACAGTGAAATGCTTACTTACAGCCCTTAACCAACAATGCATTTTTTCCTTAATAAAAAAGTTAAATAAAACAACAACAACAAAAAAGTGTTGAGAAAAAAAGAGCAGAAGTAAAATAAAATAACAGTAGGGAGGCTATATACAGGGGGGTACCGGTGCAGAGTCAATGTGCGGGGGCACCGGCTAGTTGAGGTAGTTGAGGTAATATGTACATGTGGGTAGAGTTAAAGTGACTATGCATAAATCATTAACAGAGTAGCAGCAGCGTAAAAAGATGGGGTGGGGGTGCAAATAGTCCGGGTAGCCATGATTAGCTCTTCAGGAGTCTTATGGCTTGGGGGTAGAAGCTGTTGAGAAGCCTTATGGACCTAGACTTGGCACTCTGGTACCGCTTGCCGTGCGGTAGCAGAGAGAACAGTCTATGACTAGGGTGGCTGGAGTCTTTGACAATTTTGAGGGTCTTCCTCTGACACCGCCTGGTATAGAGGTCCTGGATGGCAGGAAGCTTGGCCCCAGTGATGTACTGGGCAGTACGCACTACCCTCTGTAGTGCCTTGCGGTCGGAGGCCGAGCAGTTGCCATACCAGGCGGTGATGCAACCAGTCAAGAAGCTCTCGATGGTGCAGCTGTATAACTTTTTGAGGATCTGAGGACCCATGCCAAATCTTTTCAGTCTCCTGAGGGGGAATAGGCTTTGTCTTGCCCTCTTCATGACTGTCTTGGTGTGTTTGGACCATGATAAATTGTTGGTGATGTGGACACCAAGGAACTTGAAGCTCTCAACCTGTTCCACTACAGCCCCGTCGATGAGAATGGGGGCATGCTCAGTCCTCTTTTTTTGCTTGTAGTCCACAATCATCTCCTTTGTCTTGGTCACGTTGAGGGAGAGGTTGTTATCCTGGCACCACACGGCCATGTCTCTGACCTCCTCCCTATAGGCTGTCTCATCGTTGTCGGTGATCAGGCCTACCACTGTTGTGTCGTCGGCAAACTCAATGATGGTGTTGGAGTCGTGCCTGGCCATGCAGTCATGGGTGAACAGGGAGTACAGGAGGGGACTGAGCACGCACCCCTGAGGGGCCCCCGTGTTGAGGATCAGCGTGGCAGATGTGTTGTTACCTACCCTTACCACCTGGGGGTGGCCCGTCAGGAAGTCCAGGATCCAGTTACAGAGGGAGGTGTTTAGTCCCAGGATCCTTAGCTTAGTGATGAGCTTTGAGGGCACTATGGTGTTGAACGCTGAGCTGTAGTCAATGAATAGCATTCTCACGTAGGTGTTCCTCTTGTCCAGGTGGGAAAGGGCAGTGTGGAGTGCAATAGAGATTGCATCATCTGTGGATCTGTTGGGGCGGTATGCAAATTGGAGTGGGTCTAGAGTTTCTGGGATAATGGTGTTGATGTGAGCCATGAGCAGCCTTTCAAAGCACTTCATGGCTACAGACGTCAGTGCTACGGGTCGGTAGTCATTTAGGCAGGTTATCTTAGTGTCCTTGGGCATGGGGACTATGGTGGTCTGCTTGAAACTTGTTGGTATTACAGACTCAGTCAGGGACATGTTGAAAATGTCGGTGAAGACACTTGCCAGTTGGTCAGCACATGCTCAGGAGTACACGTCCTGGTAATCCGTCTGTGAATGTTGACCTGCTTAAAAGTCTTACTCACATCGGCTACGGAGAGCGTGATCACATAGTCATCTGGAACAGATGGTGCTCTCATGCATGCTTCAGTGTTGCTTGCCTCGAAGCGAGCATAGAAGTGGTTTAGCTCGTCTGGTAGGCTTGTGTCACTGGGCAGCTCGCGGCTGTGCTCCCCTTTGTAGTCTGTAATAGTTTTCAAGCCCTGCCACATCCGACGAGCGTCAGAGCCGGTGTAGTACGATTCAATCTTAGTCCTGTATTGACTCTTTGCCTGTTTGATGGTTCGTCGGAGGGCATAGCGGGATTTCTTATAAGCGTCCGGGTTAGAGTCCCGCTCCTTGAAAGCGGCAGCTCTACCATTTAGCTCTGTGTGGATGTTGCCTGTAATCCATGGCTTCTGGTTGGGGTATGTACGTACGGTCACTGTGGGGACGACGTCATCAATGCACTTATTGATGAAGCCAGTGACTGATGTGGTGTACTCCTCAATGCTATCTGAAGAATCCCGGAACATGTTCCAGTCTGTGCTAGCAAAACAGTCCTGTAGCTTAGCATCTGCGTCATCTGACCACTTCTTTATTAACCGAGTCACTGGTGCTACCTGTTTTAGTTTTTGCGTATAAGCAGGAATCAGGAGGATAGAGTTATGGTCAGATTTGCCAAATGGAGGGCGAGGGAGAGCTTTGTATGCGTTTCTGTGTGTGGAGTAAAGGTGGTCTTGTCACGATCGTTTACGGACGAGACGGACCAAGGCGCAGCGTGATATGCATTCATGTTTATTGATGACTAAACACATGACAAAACAACAACCGAAACGTGAAGTCCAAGGTAGCAAACAAACATACCTCACACGGAACAAGATCCCACAACTAACAGGTGTCAAAAGGCTGCCTAAGTATTGTCCCCAATCAGAGACAACGAGCAACAGCTGCCTCTGATTGGGAACCACACAGGCCAACATAGATCTATACATTCTAGAATCTACATATAGAAATTAACACAACACGAAATACACACACCCTGACTCAACAAATATGAGTCTCTAGAGTCAGGGCGTGACAGTACCCCCCCCCCCCCCCCCCCCCCCAAAGGTGCGGACTCCGACCGCGCCACATAAACATAACAGGGTAGGGGCCGGGTGGGCATTCCGCCTCGGCGGCGGATCCGGCTCCAGGCGTGACCACCACTTACTCTCCACCTCCCTGTTGCGCCCCTGGTCTGGTCTGGACCTCGGCGCGCTGCTTCCCCTCTCCTTCCTCCCACGACGTACCAAGCCCTGTCTGGACCCTGGTGTGGGAGACCCCGAACCTGGAGAGGGGCTGACGTCTGGGTCCGGACTGGAACCGCTGACTGGAGCTGGACCCGACGACAGTGGATCGAATTGCTCTGGCTCCGGAGTGGAACCGCTGACCGGAGCTGGATCAGGCACCGGTGGAGCGGACTGCTCTGGCTCCGGAGTGGAGCGGCTGACCGGAGCTGGACTGGGCCCCGGTGGAGCGGATTGCTCTGGCTCCGGAGTGGATCCGCTGACAGGAGTTGGACCGGACCCCGGTGGAGCGGATTGCTCTGGATCCGGAGTGGAGCAGCTGACCGGTGCCGGACCAGGCACCGGGGGAACAGGCACGGGCCGTGCCGGACTGGACACACGCACCACTGGCTTGGTGCGGGGAGCAGGAACGGGCCGGACCGGGCTGACGACGCGCACCACTGGCTTGGTGCGGGGAGCAGGAACGGGCCATACCGGACTGGTGACGCGCACCACTGGCTTGGTGCGAGGGACAGGAACAGGCCGGACCGGGCTGGCGACACGCACCACTGGCTTGGTGCGAGGGGCAGGAACAGGCCGGGCCGGGCTGGCGACGCGCACCACTGGCTTGGTGCGAGGGGCAGGAACAGGCCGGGCCGGGCTGGCGACGCGCACCACTGGCTTGGTGCGAGGGGCAGGAACAGGCCGGGCCGGGCTGGCGACGCGCACCACTGGCTTGGTGCGAGGGGCAGGAACAGGCCAGGCCGGGCTGGCGACGCGCACCACAGGCTTGGTGCGAGGGGCAGGAACAGGCCGGGCCGGGCTGGCGACGCGCACCACTGGCTTGGTGCGAGGGGCAGGAACAGGCCGGGCCGGGCTGGCGACGCGCACCACTGGCTTGGTGCGAGGGGCAGGAACAGGCCGGGCCGGGCTGGCGACGCGCACCACTGGCTTGGTGCGAGGGGCAGGAACAGGCCGGGCCGGGCTGGCGACGCGCACCACAGGCTTGGTGCGAGGGGCAGGAACAGGCCGGGCCGGGCT